TCCATTCGTAACATCGCAGAGGTGATTTAATGCTTAGTTTCCCTATACAATGAATTTCGAAAGTCTGGGAATCTATTAAGTTGGTTTTTTTATGTTCTCAAGGCAGTCTGGTCATAACTCCAGTGGAATGGGAGGTTTGTCCTAGAGAGCGTTAACGAACCAATAAAACTGCGTCTGTTGAAGAGCACAACTAACTACTGCGCTACACGGTCACTTTGTTCATAAATGTAGACAAATTGAATGCGTTATCATATGGGCTGATAGTTTAATCCATAGGACCTTTTCCTCTTGATAGCATTGCTAATCAAGTAAATACTATCCTACGTTTATGGTGTTTCAAGGATTTTCGTCGTCGCCGTCCACCACTCCATTGTTCTTCTTTCTTTTTATCACTACGTAGCCATCACAATGAATCGAATGGCGTGTTAACCGCACCAGTATCATCTGCCAAACCTGTATTATCTGTGGCATTGATAACCATCCTGTGGCTGGATTGAGAGCTACAAATTTCTTCGTTCGTCGCTCCTTCAACGGTCTAGAAGATAGTGGGTTCTGTTTGCTATGAAGCAGTTTATTCTTACTGTTTCAGACACGAACGTAGACATGGGAAATCTACACGCATCACCTTAACCAAACTGGTGGGCGATTTTTTACATAAATCATAGGTCGACATTCTGAAACAACCTTTATCATGACGAGGCTGATATCACCATTCTATATGTACTTTCGGCTCTGTTTAAGACTTATCTACTAAAGTAATTTCAATTTCTCCTCACAAAAGTTAACAAATGGTTTTGTCAACAGAAACAGGAACATCTTCATTACTGGGACCTCAAAAATGGCGTGATATCCAAAAAATGCTCAGATTCGTTTATGTATTCGGTTGTAACTTGAGGGCTTCATATGCTCTCCCGTATTAACATATTGAATACTAGTCGGGCATTCACTAAGATTCCCAGATGTTAAAGATTTCCTATATCTTCATTCTCGATAGTCTTAAACAGAAGCAGGGACTTGATGACGTGCGATTGGAATTCTTCCAGACCGAAGTATCTGTAGTAACGGTAGCGAAGGTTACGACTAGTGGACGTACCGTTAAGGATGGTCTATAGTCATATTCAGAATTCGTCATTTGTATAATCGTATTAGATACCAAAAGTATATAGCGCAATTAAACGGGGCTTCTTCTTTTGTTAGCATGCTGTCTTTAGCTCTATCTCCGTAAGGAGTTCTATCAAGTCATTGTTACGAGTCTTACCGAATGATCCCATTGTGCTTTTTTCGCAAAGCAACTTTTTCAAGCTTAATTTCCGGTGTCGTAGTATGCATCAGATCTTGGACAACACCAAAAAGAAAAGGTTTCATATCATTGTGTTAACATTACTTGGATATCACTAAAATTAAAATAGGTGGAGACGACACACTTTTACAAAGACTGATGTAAGCCCATCGCGTTCTCCATTGTTGTTGGTTTGGAAAGCTTTTTCACCTCTAATTCCACATAGAAGTCGTATCCACGCCATGGCACTTCCTTGTTTTCACCACGGGCAGTCGTCGGCAATCTCATACCTCTAGGAAGCGCTTTCGATTTTCAGCATCGTTTCCTCCATGGCGACGGAAAACTTTTAGCATTGGTTTCTTTTTAGCCGGACTTCCGTCTAGAAATGTCGAATTCTTTCTAGTTTATTTTGGTATGCCACTGACGGAAGAAACTTGCTGTACATCGTGTTTCTAAATCTAGAACACCAATAAGCAGCAGTAACACGCTAAAGCATTGCAGGATATTAGTAACAATGGAAGTAAAAGGCAAAAATAACAGCGCTAACAGCGCAATGGTTAGAGGTGCCTGGCAATACACTGGTCGGTCGTCGGTTCGATATCGCGCTTTGTGCTCACAAGCTTTTCACCCTTTTAGAGATGCCATATTGGTAGCACACTTGTCCGAGAAGATAGTATATATATATATATATATAAATATATAAAATTTGCATAGCTTCACCTCTACAATGCTACAGTTGATCAGCGCATAAAACGCTTTGTCAACTTACTAAATAGTGACCGCGCCTATAAAGTGCTCCCAACGGGAAGGGAGGACATTTCATGAAAAGACGACTATCCAAGAAAAAGCTTAGCTTAAGATCAGATACAAAAATTAAGGCACGCATAAACACATCCGCTGCAGGACAGAATTTGCGAAGTTCGTCGATCGTATCACATTTCTTTTATTTTCTGCTTTAGCTAACACAGACTTTATTAGGCTGAAGATGATTATGTATTTTATTAAGCTAAAGATAACTCGAAGCAGATATAATTATGAATAATTGTTAATAGCCGAAGGGAATGTTTTCCTTTCAAAGCTCGACGCTAGCGGGTATTTATTATTTATTTACATGGCACTGCACGCCTATTGTGGCCATTCCGACACTTCTTTCATTTAACTCGTTGTTTTGCAGCTTCAGTCCACGAAGAAAAACATGCACAGATTTTCTGCGAACTTAGTCTTGAACATTTTAGGTCTTCATTATGAACACCGTTTGATATTGGTGGAGAAAATCCCTTCTGGAAATCTGGGGTAGTTGTGACAACGCGTTACTAGGTCATCATCACAAGCATTCGCTGGCCTTAGCACATCAGAAATAACTTCTCTAGATAATTCTGTTACCATCTTACCAGCGACTGATGGATTGGGTGTTTGGTTTGAGTGGGTATAATCTTATGAAGCGTAAAAAGTGTTCGGCGTTCATCAAATCTTTGTGGATGCGCTACACATTGGAGTGTACATTTGCGCTGTACAATGAGCTCCGGGGATACGATGAAATATAAATGCAGCGCCTTTATCTTGTCAAGAATGTCTGGTACTAATCCGGAGAAATTTGTGAGGGATGACGGCCTTCTTTCCTCGAGTATCGAACCAACGACGTTATGTGTATCGCAAAGTAGACAAGGTACTGCTAATCACTGCGCTATATAGGCCTTCGGAATCATGTGATTTCCTAAATACTTGACAAATTTTCGAAAATTCGGAGCATCCTGTGTTAAAACCCGGCTGCTGTCATTGATGTTAAGTTTTTGAGAATCCTGGAACTATAAATGAGATCTTGACCCTTTTATTTACTGCCTTTTTCTTTTTTTAATGGCACGATATGTTGCGAAACATAACTCGTATATAATGCTGAGATATTTGCAAAACTCCGGACCGCAGGTGTATGCGGTGGGGAACGAACATGCGATGTTGTCCTTACCGGGGAGCAGCACCCTTCACCACCACACCATCCGGGTCCTTCGTTTTGTTTGTCTCTCAGCTAGTTCTATCGATCTTTTATAAATGAGATCTCTTCTTTCTGTTTAAGATAAAGATAGTTTTGTCCTAATTTGTAATCTCAAAGACAACATTTTCAAGCTACTACGGAGAGCGTTGGTGATTTTCGAAAAGTTATTTTCTTGCATATTTAGAAGGGATACTGTAGAATAAATACGAGATCTTCATAGTCTTGCACAAATAGGAAATTCGATGACCGCCTATTTCGAGTCGCGTTTCCTTTCACGAGCGCTTCTTCCTTTATGAAGCTTTTTCTGAGTGCTGTCGCATTAACGGCGCATTTGTTTCTGATTTGTTATGTGAGCGCTGACGACTTGGCCAAAACGATGTTGTTCGTCAAAGTGAGCTAGCAAATCCTGTAAGGCGGAGAGATTTAGCCAAAGCCGGCTATAGGGGTAAGCTCTCCGCTAGAAATTCAAAAGAAGAATAGTGGTTGACTATAGACAAAGTTATATTAAATTAATGATCTATTGGTCATGTTTAACTTTTTGGTAGGCTGAACCTGAAGGAATTGCACTAGAACAGTCGTAATGATGATGAAATAAGGGCAAGACCGAAAACACCAGGTTAAGTTCGAATTTACGACTACGTGTCTCGAGGGCTCACGTGCTCTCTACACTGCCATCAACGAATCGGCATTGAACGGAGTTATAACAACTCGGACTTTGGTAAAAGCAAATCGGGATAATTTGTCAGTGACAGTTATGCTGAGATTCAATGCCAGAGCTGTGAAACTGGAAAGATTGACGTAAAATACATCGACGATGTATCCTAATCCTTTTTTAGCTACTTAAAAGGTATTTATATGGTGGATATTCACTGTTGCATAGACAATTTTATTTGCTCATTTGTTTCTCAACAGTTACCCAAGGAATATGAAGTTCACGAAAAATGCAGCTGTGCCAGATCTGCAGCGATTTTTGCGATTAAGCGGGTGATCGGTGGAAGATCATACAGCGAGCTGTGTATTGGCATGTAGTTGTTTGTCTTCTATTTCTTAGATCCCGTAACGCACGATGGTCTTTGAATTTACATGTGTATTTGGTCGCCCAAGTTGAATTATGGTCTAGTTTATTCTGCCTAATATCCTGAGACAACTCTATTAATTCTTCCCTGATTTTCACTACTGCCGGCCGCCAGATTTTTGGGATCCGATGGAGCCTTTTCCAGGCAAGTATGGCATCAATCTGCCAACCCTAAAAGGTTTCGAAGCTTGGTTGGGTGGAAGTGCGGTCGAACCAACAACTATATGCCTAATTCACGACAGCTTTAACTATTGCGATTGAAGCGTGCTTAGTATCTATTTTGAGAATGTAACTTTTGAGAAATTGTTTTACAAGGATTTTTCCATCTGATTTGATTTGGAATAATGCTGCATCAAAAAGTCTTAAAATTTCATATTTGAACAATAAGAGTTGGATAGAAAAAGTAACAGAAAGAAGTTAGGAGAGAATAAAACGAAGAGAACAGTGCAGAAAGATTTAATCAAACATCAAATTGCCAAAATGAACTGTTTGTTCGCCCAGGGATGGAAACCAAGAATGATAGAAGCATCAAAAGCTATTTAGCTTCCCGAAAACGCTTTTAAACTCTTTGTTGGAAGATTTCAGTACGAAAGCTTTAAAAAATTAATGAGCTGCACTTTCATGATGGTAACTGATCACTGCTGATCGTTTATCGTATGGAATCGTTTAAGGCGTCAACAGTTCCGCAGAGTGAAATCTGTTCGGCTGTAGTGTATCTTGGCTGCACTGAGGCAGACGTTCCAATTGTCACCAAGGTTTCTGTCATCATGAAAACAGATAACATTGGATGGTAATAAATCAAAAAGCTCTCTGTTTAAAAAGGCACTTCTGGATGAATCCGTCTCATTTATGCAGTACTCTATCCACTGTGCTCGACCTCCAGACCTAATAAGCCATAGAATTCGCAAGAAAAGCAACTGTTCTGGATACTGGAGTAGAATCATTGCGATCACGAAGGCGAAAGGTGTTAGCCATAATGCCATAATAAAACTTTGTACAATCTCATATATGCCTATAAATAAACCAATATAGCGAAAATGGCTGAACCTCAATGCGGGCGCATGAAGGCTATCATGGAGAGAAAAAACACCATTTTGTGTTTGGTAAGGTGTCTTCTGATGTGGTCGGCCAATTTTTGAGGCTTCGCACCATAGAAAGGAATTGTCGCTATTGCAATATTTAGTCCTACATTGCAAAAATAATTCCACTAGCAAAGCAGTACTGTGTATGAGTTTTCCCAAGTCTGTCAGTTATCATCAAAGACGGGTTTTCTTTTCACGGACATCCGGTGTTAGTCCATGGCAGTGTTTTTCATGTAAGCCGTATCCTTCTATGAGCACAACTTGTACACAAGAATCACGTCTCGTCTGTAGTAACAATCTCTTTAGGTGGGACCCTTGTGTATTGAAAATCTATGCCGAATAAATTTTTAAATAGTCAAAATAGTTTATTTGCGTAATGCGGGTGGTTTTGATGATAAGAATAGTCCAGTTCTAGGTCACACAGAAGAATGTCCTTAATAATATATATAAAGGTTTTGGATAGCAGACGAAGACATTTTATATAATAAAAAAAGCTTTGGGACCACTCAACTGCAGTTTTACATAAGAATCTAGAAAGTTCTTTTCAAATTTTGCCTTAATTTAATGCTATTGTTACCGCCTTAGCGGAACCTCTACCTATGACACCAATACCTAATGTAACCTCTTTCTCCTAATTGTTCGTTGCACTTTCTCGGTACTCTCAATCTCTCCATATTTTACATCTCCGAAATTCAATTTGCCACCCGTATCACTCACCTTCACCAACCACTTTGTTTTCCCAGCTTCACCTTATATGAAGCACCCTACTAGCTTCTATTAACTAGGCTTTCAAATTTTAACTGGAACTTCTTTCATTACCCTTTTTGCTCTACCATATATTTCCTAACATTGTTATTTTATTTCATTCAGTGGTTCTTTCTATTTGGTTCGTTTATGGTCACACAATGAATCATGGAGAGCAGTAGTTTAAGGCGCACACTCGTGGTCAATGGTTCGACCCCGTACCGCGGGCAATCCAAGTGTTCCGTCTCTCCTGGATTGACAAGTTGGTATTAGTACTGCTTGGAAGGGCAGAAAAACATTATTTAATGTATTGTTTGTTTATCACAAGTCACCTTACGGACTAAATATGAATTTGACCACTTTTACGATGCCACGGTCAAATGCATGGCGCATCCCTCAACGATTGACGGCTGCCAAATGCTTCATGATTTATTGCTTCGTTAGCCATTACATATTATTTCTTTCACTATAATTCGATAAAGGTTTAATCCGTGCTGAGGACAATTCGTTTTTGCCTTTATTTCGTTCTGTAATCCAGCAGTAAGACGCAATATCCTTCTGGCTACCGATCTTTTATCTTGCCGGTTTATGAGTCACTGCTTTCCTGATGATCAGACACCAACGAAGCTATTAAAAAAGGGACAAAGTGTAAAGTATAGAGCATCCCGTTTTAATCAATTCCTGAAGAGTGCTCAATGCATCTGCCTTCATTCATAGCATCGCAGAGGTGATTAAATGCATATCTAGCCTATACTACGATTTCTGATGGCTCACCGATGTGTAAAATCATGTCAGTGATTTTGTCCTTTCATACAAGTCTGGTCCCCCTTAGAGGGATGATGGACTCGCCGACCTCGGATTGGCTGATTGAACCAGGGCCCGATCTTGTGCGTATTCCAGTGGACATTGAACCAGTGCACGGACTCTGACATTGTTAATACAATACTTATTTACCGATCGCTAACGTTTCGGCGAATTTCGCCTTCTTCGGGGTCTCAAGCTGCGAAATACCCTCATAATCCAAACGGAAAAACTCTAAATTCAGCTTTCAATCGCATGGGAAACAGCTTTTTAAAACCATCACTGCTTTCCATAAGTTTTTCACTTTTTGATAGAAACTAATCGCCCAGAGCTTAAGTGAATGGGAATGAACCTCTCCTACGCTTTTATTTTTTTTAAGCTCAGTAGTGTCGTCACGAGTAGCAGAGTGGTGTGAGTTCCACATTACGCTGTAGAATAGTTTCTTACGTATCCGTCCCTTCGGTGTTGAATTTCATGAATTTGTCATTCTTTTCGCCTAGAATGACTTCGAACAAGCCAGTTTCGCTTTCGTAATGCCGAGAACGTGGCTGTGTCCATGCCGGAACCGTCGGAGCCGATAAACATCTCCATTCGGGACTGCTTACAACGCTGCTTCTGTATCTGATCCGAATTTAGAACCATGTGACCTGAATGAAACCAGGACTTTGTTGTTTAGACTAAACCAAGTGGTACTTTATTTTTTAGATTTATCCTTTCTTTAAAAATGAAGTGCTGAGAAAAACTGACATCGGCCCTTGTTGTTGAAGTTGTATGAAGCGTGGAAACTTAGATAGTGATGATCAACGTTGAAAATCTCAACACTAATAATTTTCTGCATCATTAAGAAATCTCTACATCTCTTAAGAATATCGATCGAACGGAGTATGACCTGAAATAAAAAGAAAGGTGTTTCAAATTTAACTTTTGATCTGATTGAAACCATTTAATTGCCTGGAGTTTGGAAATAGCAGAAAATTTTAAAAAATCGGGAGTAGTCGAAAAAATAGTTTGCTAGAAGGAAACACTGGTAGTAGTAATAGTGGAAGCAATAGAATAAATAAAATAATACTAGTAGAAAAAAAACTCACGGAAGAGAAGGAAGAATAGTGAGAGGGTTTCCTACCTAGCTTTTCTTCTCTTCCTTTTATTTTATAGGTCTCGTTTGGCGTAGTGGTCGGAGGCCCTCTGCAACGCACACGAGGGATCGATCCCACTCCCATGGCCCACCAAGCCTTCCCCATCCCTCCGGGGTCGGCAAATTTTTACTAGACTTGTCTGGGAGGATAGTAGCACTGGGTCGATGCATCGTTAGGCCGCCGTGAATCATTGTGAAGGAAAGATATGCATTCAGTCACCTCCAATGATGCCTTATGAAGTTGAATAGTGTGCATCCTTCAGGAATTGATGAACGCCGAGAGCTTTATCCTTTTTATCCTTTATCTTTTCTTTTTCCTTTTTTTTGGCGAATTGTTAGCAGCACAGAGACCCAGATGCCAGAGACAACAGTTTTTTGTATTGCTTTAATTTTTCACTCTATTTTATCTAATTCTGCTTACATGTTTATATTCGTAGTGCATATAGTTCATAAAAGGTGAGTTTTCCGAACAAAAACGAAAATTGCTGAAGAAGCTGGCGATTTTCATTTTATCCCGGTTTTTGGTAAAAATAAAGTAAGTAATTTTAAATAGGTTTTTCACCCTTAGATGTCGAAATCATTTTCCGCTGAAATACTTCGACTTTAGTCTTTCATTTCTAATCTTTTCTAGGCATCTGGTTCCTTCCCAAAGAGGCTTTGAAATGGGCGTGGTCGATCGTGAACATAAGCATTTCCATCTATGCCTCAACCATTTCTAAAACTACCTTCACTGCTATTGATTTTATCGATTTTTCAAGTGGTTGATACAGTGAGGCCTGTATGGCGTACTCCGGTGACGAATGTGCGAAAAAATATAGCTGCCCGTACTCAGCGAGCTTCAAATTCAGCACTGCCAAATACGTAAGTGCTGTTGCAGTTGATTTTTTGAAGAATATCAATTGCTTTCAAACTAAGCAATGAGTTATAATCACTAGAATAGAGCACAGGGACAAAGCTGAGGCTGGTGATCAACCCTATTCAGATGTGCTGTTTCATATGTACCCCGCATTTCGATGAGATAACTGAAAAACAAGTGGGGGCGTGCAGCACAGTGGTTAGAGGTGCCCTGCAGTACACATGGGTTTAGTTCCGAGCCGCACATTCACCAAGCTTCCATCCTTTCAGAGTCAGGACATTAGTACTAGACCTCTTCCGGGAGAGTAGAAACACTGACTAGATATTTAACGTTTTGTTTTCTGCCTTCTATAATTTTCATGGCAGGTTACTAAGCGAAATACAACCACAACGTTGCTGAGATATTTGCAAAACTCTGGACCGCAGGTGTCTATGGTGGGGAACGACTAGATATATCAGTGGGCCACTGCGTGTCAATGTACAGGTCACTTGATGAAGTGGAATATATAGCACACCTCTCAGGGCTTTATCAACGCCGAACGCTTTTTTCTTTTATTGCTTAATAAAAAGTAGTTCGAATTTCTAGTACTAGGACATATATAGCGCAATAATTAAAAGCGCTCTGCAACACACATGGTGCTTGCTTCGATTCCGCACTGCGGGCGCACCGATCATCTCATTCGTTCGGCGTCGAAAAATTGGTACAGCACGTGTCTGAGGGGGTAAAAACACTGACTTGACAAATCGGTGAACCCTCGCAGAACACTCATTCTGTGAGCCAAGAATCCATTCAATCATTTCTACGAAGCTGCGACTGGAATCGAAGACATGGCACACACCACAGGGATTGATCATCACCAAACTCTTTACACCTTTATACTATTATTCTGCTAATGCTTTTGCAGCTTCTTCGAATATCCTGCTCGGCAACCGTACTATACACGACCGGAAGACTACAAGATTCCTGATTATCGACCAGTTAAACCGGTTAAGCCAATTTCGCCCAATAACTTCCAGCCAAACTTCATACCTCAATTCATTCCAAATCACCAGCCATTTCAGCCACAGTTCGGTCAGAGCTTTAGGCCGCCTAAAAAAGGTAATTCCTTAGTTATATTTTTATACCACGTTTGTACTATACATTTCCTCATTAATCTACGAAGTCGTGGAGAATCTTGTAACGCCTTATGTATTATACCATCCTATATAAAGACTGAGACTAAGTCGTCCTAAGAAGAAACGAAGTAGAATTGTCAGTGGTGGAGAAAATCAAAACATTTTAAAATAACATCTGGAAACTATAAGTCTCACCTTTGCAAATATCAGCTTTTGCAAATTCTACTTGATTTCATATTTTTATTTTATATTTTGTATTTAATATTTTTTAAAAGTACTTAAGATTTTTCATTATTGCTGAAGGGAATTGTTAATTTTAAGTCCATCATTTTTAACAAATCTTTTTGTGACTTCTTCAACAAAAACTTTCTTTTTTCTTGAAGACGGTTCACGGTTTTTCTTTTCAGCTACGGGATTCCCTGCCCCCACTTCAAATAGGTTCTTTCCGTTTTACAATGGACAGCAACATCCTAAGCCACCAGTCTATCCTTCACTTCCTGGATTTTCTCCACTGGATAACGTGAGGCAGCAAGTGTACGTTCCATCGAATGCACTACCATACTGGCAAGGAAGTGGACCAATTCCACCACAAGGCGCTTACGCACCTAAGGCATTCACGCAGAAGATACCGATGATGCCAGCCGTCAAGCCGGAAAATTTTCACGGTAAGTTGGCCATGTGGTGAAATTACTTTGTGGAGGATTTGCTGACTTATATTAAGGTTTCTTTCTAGGTGTGATTCCTATGCAGCCGTCGGTGAGTCCAGAGATGTTTGACGCCGTTCACGAACGCGGCCACTTCACAAGACCTGTGCCACCTCAACCTACGCAAGAATGGGTTAATCCAACCACCACTATTTCTCAGGATTTTTCCTCTAGCTATACTGGCGACATGCCAACAATTTTTATTTCGCAAAGCAATCCATTCATCATGCCAAATACATCCTTGCCACGACTGATATCAACAAAAACGGAAACAAACCCTTCGCTAGAAAGATATTTGGAGACCCTAAATCTTGAAGATATTACCAGTTCTTCGGCCATAAGCCAGGGTACAACTTCCGACTTTGCGACCACACTGGCAACGACTTTTATGCCAGATATCACATTATACAACAGCACCCTGCCAAAAATGTCAACTGTATCCGAAAGTGCACAGGAACATTTAGAAAGTGTCCCAAAGGAGGACAGGTCGGACACAGCTTTTGCCGATCCGAATTCGTTCTATGTTAAACACGAGAAGTCATTCTATTTCCCAAGACCCGCCTTGTCACAGGTATGCCGCATTAACATCTATTATAATTTTTGTTCCTATTCTTCACGTCTTCATTCCTTACGCTCTAATGTTAAGATTAGTAGGATAACACTCGAAGTTATAATTTCGTGAACAGCTGTTAAGAAATAAGAAATCAGAATTCCTAAGTTGGCGCTTCATCTCATAATTCAGGAAGTGGGCTTGGATATCGGTACATCACTAAGTGGCTAACTGTTTACAATGTTATCCATATTGTCACAAATCAATATAATTATTTCTAAATGCGCTTAAATTGTTGAACTCACACGAGGTTGATAAAGACTAATAATTTCATTAATTTATAGTAATAAAGTATAAATAAGTATAATAATGAATAATACAGTAATGAAAATAAATAACAAATGTAATTTGATTAACTGGGGGCGGTTAGCGCAATGGTAGTGATGTCCGTTATCACGAGCATAGTGCTCGTTCGATTCCGCTCAAGCCCAACCAAATCTTTTATCCCTCCGAGGACAGAAAATTGGTACCGAACTTTTCTGGGAAAAAATCACTCTCTGCAATCGAATTGGAGACACTCCTGTCTGCTCTCTCAGGACTCCAGGGAGAATTGCTCGATCAGCGTTCTACAATATTCAAGGTGGAATGGAATTCCTCAAGCAACAAGCGAAGCCACAGGTAAAAGCAAGAAGATCTTCGTGGACAATGGGTGCGGGGAAACGATTCGACTGTGGGAAGTGCTGGAATCAGCACAACAGGAACCAAGATAGATCAAATAAAATAGAAAATAAAAAATAAGCTTAATTAATTTACAATAAGCTCTAAAAATATTTAGGGCCTAGAGGGTTTACGGAAGCCAAATGTACTTGTAGTGAAGCTGGGCATTCAATCCCGACCTGTTGTGGTACAATTCATGTTAGCTAATCACTAAAGAAACAAAAAAGCACTACGCTGTTCTATTCCATAAATAGTTGCAGAATTTCAAAAGTATGCTAGGCGTTGCACTTCTGTCTAATGAATTAATTACTTTATTGCTCTGTTAGGTCTACCAGCCGCCTGGTCATCAACCCCAAGAGTTTACTCAGCATATCGATGTCAACTTCCTGAAGCCAAATCGAACTTGTGTCGGACCTATTTGTGGAATCGACACAGATAAGGTGAAGGAGACGTTCTACGACGGTGCATGATGCAAAAAAGGTTTTTAAGAAATATAAATTCATCTATTAGTTTAGGTATCACTGTATAAGCCTGAAAAAGGTGATGGAAGTCGTGGACCAACGTTACTTATTTCGAATGCAGCCAAGGTGAGATTCACTTGTACTTCTTACATATGCTTGCTTTTAGTAAAAGATAAAGAATAAAGTGATTCGATGTCGATCGATTCCCTTGCTAATCGTCACGCATTCGACTTCATTCGTAGTATCGTAGAGGTGAATTAATAATAAGTATTTAGCTCCTGCAATAATTTTCGGGATCTACAGATGCGACATTCGACGTCTTTATTATCCCAAACCAGTCTGCTGTTAATTTACCAAATCCGGAACGACGAAAGGTTTCGTTTCGGCTGCAGTCGGGTGGGGCCAACAATCATGTGTGCATTATGGGACATAACAATTGCACTCACTTGGATACTTGGGTGGCTCGTCTTCTCTGGTTGGGCGGACCTATTACCATTTTTTTGGAGTTCTGTTGGAAAAAGCAGCAGAATCACTGCACTACATCCAAATAATAAATGACCAAAAACCAAATCAACTCCAAAAGTTGTGGGCTTTAAATGAACGTTTTTTATAGGGTGATGCTGCACGACTCGGTTACATTCCGCCACCACCGAAATTGGTTTCGGAATTTTTTGTGCCACCGACGTCGACCGAATACTACAGTAATGAATTTATTCCAGGAACGAACGGTTATCCACGTTCGGTGGGTACCATGAATGGATCCAAAATCTTTGAAAATTGCAATTTGATAAGTAACGAGTACTGTGTAGCCAGAGGACTATGAACAATGTTGTCTTGTATATTATTATTAAATGCTATTACTTTTTAAGAAAAATTGTTACTAAGACGTTAGTCCTCTGTCTCATCTTATTCACCTCCACTTTGTTCCTTGCTGATGATTTCAATGCCGCTGAGAACATTGAAGCTTTTCGGAATTTTGGCGATTTGAAAGTATAGGATAGACGGTAAAGCTCTTGACGTTGATCAATACCTGAGAGATACGCAATACATTCGACTTCACTAAACATCGTTTGAAGGTGATTGAACGCATATTCGGCCTTTACAATGATTCGCGGTGGCCCTCCGATGAATCCAGCCGTGCTGCTATCCTCCCAGACAAGTCTAGCACCAATTTGCCGACCCAGGGAGCATGAAAGGCTTGAAGGGCCATTGACGCGGGGATCGATCCCATGTGTCGGTTGCAGGGCGCCTCCGACCACTGTGCCACACGCCGCGCAATTTGAAAGTATAGAAAATAACGTATCAAGAATAATTTCTAGCAAATTTTTTCTTGGACTGTATAACTTTCAGGAAATACAAGAACCTCTTTATCCAGACGAATTTAATATCGTTGAACCGTACCATCCTGAGGTGAGCGACTGCGGTTGTAGCTAGCCATATACTTGTTAGTAATATCATTGCCATTGCCGGCATTTTATTTTTGATCACAATTTTGGCGACACTTTGTATTTTTTGACTATCACTGATGTTTCATCCCGAGAATGTTTTCGAATATAGTGCTTCAGATTCCCAAAGGCCCTCACGTCTTCGTACCGCCGCAGAGTTTTCCTGCACCACCTCTTCCGACTCGGGTACCTCCAGCTCAGATGACACTAGAAACCGATACTGTTTGTTTATTTTCAGACCAATGAATAGAAATTTAAAGGAAAACAAAAAATGAAGTAGTGGAAAGTAAAATAAAAAAGTAATGATAATAAATGCCACAAAATAATCACAGTAAAATGCAAAATTAAAGAGCTAGAACTTTTTTGAAAAGATCGATTTTACATGGACATCTCATTCAAATAATGTTATCAGTTGAAATGACAGCAAAGCTGAAAGCTTTTAGGTGCCGAGCTATCACCCGACGGCGAAAACAATAGCCACTCCATTTTCTCCAGAATATACGACTTCATCACCTCCATCCAAACCTTCAATCAGTACATTACAAGTGAGATCAATTTTTTATTCAGTAGATATTTAGATGTATGAAAGTTTCATATAAGGGAGCGTGTGGAGCAGTTGTCGGAGGTGCCCAGCAACACACACGTGGAGTCAATCTCCGCGTCCACGGCCGACCAAGCCTTCCATCCTTCCGGGGTCGGCAAATTGGTACCAGACTTGTCTGGGAGGATAGCAGCACTGGCTCAATATAGCGGAAGACCACCGCGAGTCATTGTAAAGGCCAGGTATGCATTCAATCGCCTCCAAACGATGCTTGGTAAAGTTGAATGCATACCGCAACCCTCATGGTTTGATCAACGCCGAGAGCTCTATCCTTTTTTTTCAAAGAGAGTTTCACGATTTGAAGACTACACTTTACTTAAACAATAAAAAATGACACCCATGAACAAGCTCTATGAAGTTTCTGAGCAATATCTTTCTTTTACCGCAGCCTCTAAAAGAGTGTTGTAATAACTCGAAAGACCGACTTTCTATAAACCTCGCCATAGATAGTTGATATATTTATTTATATGGTCTTATAAACTGATCTTCTCAAGTTGACGCGAGGTTGGTGCAGGTCTTCGCTGTCGTTGTCGTTGTTTTTGATGTTGTTGGTCGATGGCTGATGTTTCGGCGACTTCGCCTTCCTCAGAGCCGTGATGTTACGTCTGGGACCCACGGCTCTGAGGAAGGCGAAGTCGCCGAAAGGTCAGCCATCGACTAACAACATCAAAAACAACGACAACGACAACAAAGACCTGTACCAACCTCGCGTCAGCTTAAGAAGATTAGTTTATAAGACCATATAAATAAATATAGTGTTATAATACATTGGTTCTCAATTTCCATCACAAGTTTAAGTTAACCTGTGGTGGTTTTCGAGAAAATTGGCAATTTTGTATAATGAAATGCATTCCAGACTACAACTTCGGCTCCGAATACTCTTCCTCGCTTCCAATCTACTTCGACGTTTACAGAATCTGTACCTGAGACTACTACCAAGTGGCCAAAGTTGTCACTTACGTATACTCAGCCCCCAATTCTCTCCACACAAGAAACGTATCCACAGCAGCCAGCTGCCTTTGGTACTGTACCACCTTTACCTACTACAACCACAAGAGAACAACCACTACTGATGTCGTTTCCACATCCTACTCCAGCTTCTGGAGCACCACAGAGTACGCTTACACCATCCAGCTACACAATTCCAACAGTGAGAATCGAAACTACGGCGGCCACAAGACTCCGTTATCCGGAAATCACACGTTATGCATCAACGTCAACTGAGAGAAGTACTACTACGCGGCTATCAATAACCACGGCTTCTACGGCCCCCACATCAGCCATACCGACTTCAACAACAACGTACGACTTCTTCAGTACTTCTTGTTTTTTTCTCGATGTGCGCTTAAGTTCGAACAATGTTTGCTTTTTGTCGAGATCAAGTTCTGTCAAACAATTTTTGATATCGTATTTTGCATTCATCCTATCAGTCCCTATAATTCTTTTCACAGTACTAGCTTCTCTTGTGATTTTTTTCTTTTTCCCTTTGCCTTGTCTAGGTTGCAGTTTCACTAGGTTAATTAGCTTGCTTTACACTACTTTTTTAAAAAGATATAAGCCAACCTTTTACTCTGAAGTACTACATCTATGTCGTATTTCAGCGAAATGCCAACGACAGTTAGCCAACTACCCACCACTTCTGTCGGATCTACGAGCACTATGCGGAAAACTGAGGTCATGAACAGAATTATAGGTTAGATAATAAAACTTGTTGTAAAAATAACCTAAGTTGTCTAAGAATTTGATGCAGGACACAAAATTTATACTTCAGGAAAGGTTCGAGTGGTGTGTAAGGAGGACGGTATTGAATTCAGCGCCAGCACTTTGTTTCCGTTCACCGGTCAGATTTTCGCCAACAACCGCAGACGGGTCCCGAAGTCAGTAGAGTGAATTTGCAACATTCTCAAAAACTCGTAGTTTCCCACGAGTCCTAACTTTGGACTACTTTAACATCCTGGTTAGAGAAGACCGGTTCGTTGACTAGTCGAAATCGACCGCTTTACATCAATTATCGCCGAACTCAGTGAGAATCCATCATTTTTTAAAATTTTCCTAAGTCCTTAGCAGGGACTACAAAAGGGAATTTACATTTTTGGATCTACTTCTTTATTTTTTTTGTTGTTTGGAAATTAATGAACTTGAAGACTTATATAGCAAGTTGCTTCGTTCTCACGAATCTTGTGAGCCTATAGTTGTGATTCCCACAGTTTCTGTTCCTTGTTGATTCCACATTTAGAAGATTCCTATAGGTTCAATAAATCTCTTCTAGCATCTCGCTTTGCTGATGTGACTTCGATAAGGTTTTTGATATCTTAAATAGTACAATCCTCATGATTAACTTATAAAACTCACAATACAGGCAGATCCGATAGTGATTCCGAACGTTTTTCTACTCTTCCTTGGATTGATGACCGTCCTTGAGTTTAACCTTTCTACTTCTTCAATCTTTTTCAGAGTTGTTTTTGTCATCATACAATCTAAGAAGTGCGTTTGTCTTATGTTTTCCACTCTGTCCCTGTGCTCTCAGAGATTTCCCACGAGGACGGACTGGTCCTTCTAGTAGGGTGTCCTAAGTTCAGAAGAGTGCGATATTTGTATTCGCGAGACTAACTAGAAGTGAACCGTTACGGCCTTGGAAGAAATTCTGGACATATGGTAAACCTCCCACTCATTCACAGCGAACGGTGATTTCGAACGACGATCATAGTACGCTCTAGCAGAGCGTGGGTTCGAGGATAAAAGTGCTTTCAAACAAACAGCAAAGCAGTTCCCTAAAAAAAGTGTTGTGATAAAACCATTGCTGTTCACACCATCAAAACTCTTAAAAAAAACGAAAGTCCTTCCCATTCAGATTTGTTAATCTGTCATATGTTCGGTCCTGAATATTCGGAAATCTATATCATTCATTTTGGATTGTTTATTTGTTTATTTGCAGTTGTTCGCACAACATCGTGAACACCGTCGCTCCCAAGGTTTTCCTACCATTCCTAGAATGTGGCGTGAAAAACACCGGCGATCAGAGAGATAGCCGTGCTCAGTACCACATGCAGGTGATCGCTGCATAAGCCGATTTTTGGTATTAATAATTTGTAGCTTAGTGACTCTACCGTTTAGAGAAGGGATTGGATTTCTAAAGCCTGACTTGGAATTTTGAAATTTTGCTCTGAATAGAAAGAGCGTTCAGTACGGTTCACTAGGAAACAGACAAGTGAGCGAGTGCAAAGCTTATTTATCCAGGTGGTGATGGTGATAGAGCAATCTGACGGAACATCAACAGTTCAGTCCTTCATGGCCCAATGTGTACAGCAGAAAATTCACTACGACAAGCAGACACTACCACGAAGAATTGAGGAGGCACTGGAAGAGTTCGTTTACAAAAGGTTCACTAGTTTTCCCAGTGGGATTCTACTCATCTATTTCTAGACTTCGACTTGTCGCTACAAAACTCGAGCAAAAAGCACCACTTCCACAGGTGGAAATGAAAGCAGGTTTTAGCTAATCTAAAGTAAATTTCCAAAAAATTTTAAAAGACGCTTGAAGGAGTTACACAGTATGCACTAGAGTCCTCTGTTGTTCTAGGTTCCTCATTTGGAAATGGTTCTAATGTTAATTATCGATGATAATTTAGATCGTCATCGATGAGCATAACCAGCTGGGACCAGAAGTAAGTGAGGTGGACATAGGGATGCCTCTAGCTGTTCAATGGAAGTTGCTTCCTGAGTCAGGTTCATAATTATTTATTAATTTTCACTGCAGAAGTGCGGATGTTCAAATGGTAGTGGTGCCGATCAATATGCGCAAGGTTAGGGTTCAAACCCGCGCCGGGTAACATAAAATTCCCACCACTCGAGATCGAAAGTCAAATTGCCAGAAATCAGAGAGTCAAAAGAGCAAACTCATCTGCGATTAGCTCTATTCCACCAATGCACAAAGACTATCGACTGTTTGTGATGAAGGTGTGGGTGCGCCCTTGGCCCTGATGTCGAGTCGTGTGAAATAAGGATAAGAGAACTAAGATAAGAGGAATAAGAGCACATGCAAATAAGTGTTTTTGAGTACAAAAACACAAGAACAAAGGTTTAAAACGCCATGTGAAGCTTACTATATCTTCGTTAACTGTTACGGTGATTCTGAAGAATAAAACAGAGTTATTAATAGACAAAGAAGTATGATGGCAAAAAGCTATTTTCTGATCAACTCCAGATATTTTTATCTATTTGGAAGAATTTTTGAAGAAGATACCGAACCTTTTTTCTGAGGTCATCGCATCTTAAATATGAAACCGGTAAAAAGTGTACAAAACTGTTGTTAAAGAAGTATACTTTACATCACACTTCAAGACATGGAAGGATTTTGGTCTTTGCATATAACATATGTCTTTGAATCAGAAGATTCAATGCCAAACAATTAATTTTCGCTCTTGGCTGATTTGTAGTATTATAATAGTTTAGCAGTGTTCAACATTTTTCGAACAGTTATTATAATGTGCGTGTGGCACAGTGGCCAAAGGCGTCTTACAATACACATGGGATTGATCCTCGCGTCCTAGGCCCATCAAGTCCTCCATCTCTCTGGAGTCGGCAAATTGGTACCAGACTTGCCTGGGAGGATAACAGCACTGGGTCGAGACATCGGTAGGCCAGTGCGAGTCATTGTAAAGGCCAGATATGCATTCAATCACCTCCAACGACGCTTAATGAAATCGAACACATGGCGCATCTCTTAGGGATTGATCAACGTCGAGAGCATTATCCCTCAACTTTTTTTACTATTATGATGCAATTACCTCGTTTCTTCTCTTACCAGTAGCAAGATATAAATCTGCTAGACATGTAAGCAGAAAACTAAATTGGACAAATAGAATGGGAATTGAACTTAGTATTTTTCAAATCGATCGTCATTTAACCACAGAATTAATAAACAATAACTTTTTACATTATTAAGCTGGCATGAAGCTGATAAAAAGGTTTATTCAGCTAGCGTCTATACCTCATTGCCTTCAGCATGAACTTCAAACTTAAACCCCTCTGTATGAAGAACTTAAAATACGAATTCTTTACGTAGTTGTTCAAGAGCTCATACAGTTACAGTGATTCCGAAATGCCTATAAAACAGAATCTACATGAAGAATTGGCTTTTTCTAAACTCCACACCTGGTTTTTTTGAAGTTTCTACCACAGTGGCTTACCAGTTTACCGCGTGGCTGGACGGTATTCCTGATCTGTCAAACTACGGTATGCGAAAAAATGTTCGTCTCTCAAAATGACCAACTGGGCCAAAGAGGAGTTTCGTAGAGGAGATCCAGAGACGAAATGATGACAAATCTATATCAGAGATCGCCTTCATACGGAAAAAAGTCTGTTTACAACCCAGCAAATCCTGATCGGATTCGTACTGCTCACCCATAGTCTATGTTTTATCTTCTGGGAACGCTCCGACATTTCTCTTTTGGACTCTAAGAAAAAACCTGTCCATTCAAAAAGTATTACTTAAATAAGTATTATGCCATCTCGCAATACACATGATGGCAGTCCATCAAAATACTCAAGTAATGATGTAATTATGAGTATTTCCAGATGCCTACGGATTTCACGTGAAGAACTGTATTGTGAAGGATGATATCATCAATGTCGAACACAAGATGATTGACGAATTGGGGTGAGTGGGAAAATTCCTCCAGACAAGTCCCGAGAAAATCGCGAACGAAAAATGGGAAAGAGTGAGCCAAGTCGGATTAAATCCAAGAGTTTTTAAACAGTGTAAACTTTTTTAGAAATAGAAAGGCATAGAGATAGAAATCCAGCTGAGAGACAGGCGAAACGAAGGAACCGCATGGTGTGGTGGTGAATGCATTAGCCCCCGAAAAGGGTAATATAACTCGTTTGTTCCCCACTGCAGACATCTGCGTTCCGGAGTTTTGCGAATATCTCAGCACTATTGTAGTTCCTAAGCAGTTGGCATGAGATTTCTACAACACTTATTATTTCATTTTTGATTTCACCTACGCTATGGTAGGCTAAAACGGTTCAGAACTAAGAATAATTTGCCACTTTAGTCGTTTTGAAGCTGTTACTGTATTACCTCGACTTACTACGCAAATATGCAAATGATTCATGAGCTATGATAATCGATTTATTAAATTGATGGATGACTTCTCATTGGGTTGGTGCAAAATAGAAAATCCCAAACATTCAGTAGAAGCTCAAGTTGTTTTTCACCCGATTTCCATAGACGTATTGAAGTAGTCTTTGTTTTGGTCCGTGTTAAATCGTAGCTGTTGTAAGCTCAGTATGAAAACTACTTTGACTACTACATGGAGACAGTGTTGCTTTGGACGACTTCCTTGTCCTGAATGTTTAAATTTTCTTCAATTCTGCACTATTTTCAGATGTTCCACGGATCTGACCATCTTCGCTCATCCACACTATGACACATATCACGACACTGCGTCTTCTCACTTGTGGGCATTCAAGGTAGAATGACAGTGGTGAAATCAGAATTAGAAATACTTGTTGAGGGTTACAAGTATTGCTCTAATGCCACGGTAGTCCATAGTGTGGAGTTCATCCACGATCACGTGACCTAAAGTGACTGGCGAATAACTGTAATGAAAATATGAGCTTTGTACGACAGGACAAAAAAAATGCTTTTTCTCCTAAACCGCCGACTGAGGGTTGTCTCGTCTCAAGGGTGGCTCGATAGGCTTTGGCGTGTTCACTCTATCAGTTTTTCAGAGTAGTATCGATCTTTCCTAGGTATCCTAGGTATCTTCCAACTCCTTAATATTGTTCTTTTTTGGATTCGGTCTATGACATCGATTTTGACTGCTCGGTCGATTAATCGTAAGAAACGCTGTCGACCTGGAAAAATCCCGGTCGCCACGCATCAATCTCCCGTCTAATATAAAGATCTGGGGATTACCGGTCACAAAAACATGTGAACCGCCTTATGCAGATGTTGTGAAAAACTAAGGTAGGAAAGCAATGTTCCTGCAATATTCAACATGTCAATAAGAAGCAAAGACAACAAAATCTTAAATGTGCAACCAAACCTTTCCGAACACGAGCCTACCCAGTCGGTCAATTTTTCGCAGTACAGGCAATTTAATAGAAATTTAAGTGCTGTACTTGAAGTAGTGTTTAATGGTGGGTGAAAACGAACATGAAGTAAATTGACGTTTCTTCTACAGAAAGGAATGATGCTATCCTTTTCTTCACGATCATCATCGCGGTGGCGACCCGCTCTCAAAAATGGTCTTCGTGAAAACCTCATTTCGAACGGAAAATTGTTATTCCTGCGACTTCGGAGGCTCAGTATTAATTTTTGTTTAAAAAAACAGTTTGCGGGGTTTTCCATAAATACAAATGTAAATTGTAAAAGTGTTCTCTCCGTTGTTTCCCGCAGCTAATATTCTGCAGTTAGTAATGCTTCTAGTTGATTAGAGTAGAACGGTTCGTTATGGTTTTGTAAAATGGATAAGGACAAAACCAACAACGAAAAAAAAGAAAGAGCTGGCAGGAAAGCCAAAATAACAAGTGGAAGATAGAATTATCCAACTAACAGCGAATCAACTAGGAGAGGTAGGAAGTAGTACCCACACCCACTCTATCTTGAATTGCTCCATTGCATGAACCCCACAAACTCCAATACTTAATTGTTTATAAACAAAAATCAGCTTTGAGATAATACGTAGAGAGGTTTCCAAGTACGTATGGGATGTGTGTTGTGCTCAATTCTTCTACCAGTTGAATCGAATAGGTAAAGTAAGCTTTACTGTAATGTTTCTGGGACTTTATAAAAAGCATGTATCAGGTTTAGATGATTTTAACAAGTTGGCGATTTCTGCTTTCTTTATGGTTTTTGTCAGCTTTAGGTGCCTGACCATACTCGACTGCGAATCAAATGTGACGTATCGATATGCTCCGATATTCCATCCTCATCTACAAATATTAGTAGTTGTGCTTCAATTCCCAGTGTAAGTGAATCTGTTGAGGCTAAAACCATATGTCAAAAATGAAAATGATAAAGCGTCCGGCGTTTATGAACTCCTGAGGGATGGGCTATGCATTCCGCGTCGTTCACATCATCGCTGAGATGATCGACTGCATATCTAGCCTCCACCCTAAATTGTGATGGCTTATCGATGGATTAAGCCAGTCTCGATGTTTCCCCAGACAAGTCTGGTACCACTTCGCCAAACCCGGAGTGATGAAAAACTTGCTGTGCACATGGCACGGGGTCGAATCAACGGCCAAGTTTGTATTGCAAAGCACCTCTGACAACCACGTTACAATCGTATAAAAAGTTTGACTAATAAGAGAAGCTCAGCTCTTATATCTACTGCCTATTCATTTTTCACGGCAGAGTACTAGGTGAAATGCAGTCACAAGCATCTTGAGATATAAGCAAAGCTTGAAACCTTGGGTGGAGCTTGGAAACAGCGATTACCTTTTCGGGGCTCACGTGTTGCCCACTGCACCACTGAGGCCTTTGCTTTGCCTTTTTCTCAGCCTGTCTTTTAGCCCAACGGTGCCATCAGCCGTCAATGAGAGCAATATAAGAAAGAAATATAATGTAATCTGGGGCTATAAGAAATGGTCCTAAAATTGGCTTCATTTTTCAATGAAATGTAATGAGTCACTTTGAGATTGCTTTGATCATTAAAAATAAGCAATCGAGCTTCCCTCACTCTCATAAACTCCTCTATTGTTTCTTTCTTTTTGGGAAATTTCATCACAGATTATAGATTTTCGTTGCACCTTGATTTGACCGATTTTTTTGCTTAAATAACTCCACCTTATATTTTTCTACACCGAATTCCATTTAATCTCAGTACCGATAATCAGCGTTTGGTACCAACCACGTTCTAAAACAGCAGTGGAAAATGAACCTTTCCTTTACTTTTCATTCTAAGTTTTTCCGTTTTTCAGCCACCTTTTTGTCCCGATCTAATCACATCTCCACCAAATTCAATTCTTTACGATGCTGAGGGAGCGTTCCTGAAACGACGACGTCAGGTTGGACGTGAATTCACTCAATCAGTACGAGCAGCACTCTGCACAGGACCGGCATGCGATTCTCAACCACTCCGTAAGATATTTTCGGTTTCATTTCAATTTTTCACCTCTTTTTTTTGAGAACTAAGGCTGGTGTAGTTGAATGGAGCGAACACCTTTGCTGCACATAAGTTATTTTAAAAGCCGACGTTCGCTGAAGCTCGACATGGGTATCGACATGCACTTTTTCACTGATAAGCTAACACCAGGTTGATAGGAAACTTAGGGAATGTTAGCGAGATAAAGCTTTTTAACAACCTCGTGTTAGCCTATCAGTTAAGAAATACATGTGATGAGTTATTTTAATATTACTTTGGTAACTAGAAGTACACAGGAAAAACTATCTTACTACTATGAATATCTTCACTCCTTCTCTCATTCTTTAATTCAAACCTATTTTATTCCTCGCCCAAATATAATTCGCTCTTTGCTTTTGTGATTTTTAAAAACGCGCTTCCTAAAGCGATTTTTTAGGGGATATGCTTCAGAAGATGTTTTTGAGTAATATTTTATTTTGCGCTAGCAACTGAGAGAATGTGCGTATGGCGCAGTGGTCGGAGGCGCCCTGTAACACACAAATCTATCCCCGCACTCATGGCCCACAAAGTTTTCCATCCGTCCGCGGTCGCCAAATTGGTGCCAGACTTGCCGAGAAAGATAGCAGCACTGGCTCGATGCATCGGTAGGCCACCGGGAGTCATTGTAAAGGCTAGATATGCATTCAATCACCTGCAAACGATGCTTAATGAAGTCGTATGCATGGCGCATCCCTCATCGATTGATCAACACCGAGAGCTTTATCCTTCATTCTTTGCTTTATTTTGAATTTTTTTTTCCTTATCTTACAGTGGACTGAATGTTCCCCATCATTGTTCGATCATGCAGTGATAATTGTTAAAGGTAAAAGAGCTAGAGAAGCGTTGACCAGTGATAGCTCATTGCTGAAGCGTCACTTTTCTCCGTAGAACTGGATATTCATACATGCTTCGTGTTGTCTGAAGATGATTTGTTTTTATTTCAGGATTTGACAAGCGATGCTTCGATCTTCACTGGGTGGCCGCCTCAACTGGACTGTCGTTTGCCTCACTTGTCTTTGCTGTCATCATACACATTGCTGTCAAAGTAAAGGTATCGCAGAAGCAGCGATAGCCTTTAGTATTTCACAGAATGGACAACAACCGAAATTCTGGTGTAAAACATAATTTGCAAAAATAAATATTGAACTAATAACTACATATATATAGATACTTTTTTTTTCTTCGGGTCAATTCTGGCACCAGTGCACTGCTGCGCCGGCCCAGGGTGGGGCGCAACGGTCTCAAGATTCTTTAGAATCCTTATCGGAGTTTGGTTCAACCAGAACAACAACTAAGCTTAAATCTAGCCGAAAAGCTTGTTAGGGTATCCGGTTTCTCAGAAAAGATAACAAGATCTCAAGCGAATACACAAGCGAGCTCGAATACCTTTGTTGACGACGGTTGTGTAATAATGAGGAGACATCTATGTCTAAACATGTAAGCCAGATATCTGTGGTGGGAATCCAACCTGCTGCTACCCTCTCCGGGGCTAACATGTTCACCACCATGCCATGGGGGCCCTTCGTTTCTCCTTTGAACGCCTTCCTTTCCTGATTGTCTTGTTTCAGAAGTTCAATCTAACTTTTACTTAAAGAGAACCAAATGCAATTGTGAAACTAACCTAAGAAAGAAGGTAACCCATGCAAACGCATGGTATGAGGATACCTTTTTCCATTATTAAGCTAACACGGGGTTCACGAAAAAGACTTGTTAAGGTACGATGATAGTTTGAAACAACCAATAATGAAAGTGTGCGCCTTGCGAAGCAACGTTTTGGACAACATCCAGTCGTTCATGAAAATCTGTCAGAGTGAATTATTAATGAAAGATTCCGGCGAATTCTTGTAATTACAACCAGATCAATTTACTTTCGTACCAATTTTCATTGCAGACCAACATCAAAAATATGTAAGTGTAACTAAACGCCTAACAGCGTGCGGAGCTGAGCCCGTTGAATTCATTGCTCTCCATTCCATTCCAGTTTACGAGAACGAGGACCTCGAGCTCGAATAAAAGGATAAAAAGGGATAAAACTGCCGGCGTTGATCAATCTGTGAGGGATGCGCCATGTATTCGACTTCATTAGGCATCCTTCGGAGGTGATTGAATGCATGTCTGACCTATACAATAACTCGCGGTGCCCTACCGGTGTTTCGAACCAGTGCTGCATCCTCCCAAACAGGCTAGTACCAATTTGCCGACCCCGAAGGGATAGAAGGCTTAGTGGATCATAGACGCGGGATCTCCATATGTGTGCTGCAAGGCGCCTCCGACCACTGCTCCATAAGCCCGAATACGTTGATTAGATTACCAAGTATATTACATGGCCCATGTACAAATGTCTCAGAGTTCACAATATTAAGCGGCTCATATGCGAAATCCGGCTCTTTCTTCGCTTTGTTATTCTGAATCCGTACATTTATGGAAGTAGTCGGCTTCGTGTATGGATTAGGCTGAGGCTTAAGGATCTTTTATAATCCTTCTTGACTCGTATGCTGCATGCTGGAGCTTGCTTTTAATTCGAATTTCTACTTTGCCGTTCTTGGACGTTTCTAGGTCTTCTCACAGGTGATCGCCACCGCTTGTAGAAAGGAGTTTTACTGAAGTGCAACTAGGATTCTTCCAAAACGCCAGGAATTCCTAAACCAGGCGACTACTCTTACAACTAATCGATTGAATGGCCGATCGAGAACGAACTACTACACCAAATCACAGAACGGTAGTAAATACAGAGAAATCCATAAAAGCCCGTTGCCTCACCAGGTAGCATTGTGAAGTAAAAATTCATTTAGGAAATAAAATAAACATAAACGATGAAGCTCTTCGGCGTTGATCAATTCCTGAGATGCGCTATGCATTCGACTTCGTTAGACATCGTTGGAGGTGATTGAAAGCATATCTGGCCTTTACAATGACTATTACTCGCGGTGGCCTAACAATGTATCCAGCCAGTGCTGCTATCCTTCCAGACAAATTCGGTAGCAATTTACCGACCCCGGAGGGATGGAAGGCTTTGTGGACCATTGGCGCGGGGATCGATTCCACGAGTGTGTTGCAAGGCACCTTCGATCATGTGCCACGGGCTCCTTTAGTTAGAAAGTAACTATGGTTAACATTCTCAGTGGCTACAATTTATACGGAAATAGAAAACAAGGTAATAGCCTCAGAAAGCTAACTTGGAGAACGAATAGATTAATCCAAAAGCTTCCGTAGAGGATAAATCGACTTATTCGCCGATCAAAAACAAAGTATCGGAGCAAATCCTAATACCAGATATATCCTTTGTAAACATTTTATCTAATCCTCAATGGTAATCTTTTTCACAGAGTGTGATAACCATTCATCTGGAACAATTCGTTTAACGTAGAAATTAACCCACAGAATGGCTTTCTTAGTACAAACGATAGCAAACAAGCAAAAATTAGCATAGAATGAATGAAATCATAATCCTCAATCAATTTTCTTTTCATGAGGTAAAAAAACAACACTATGACAAAGAGCCAGTGAATTAGTTGGTTATAAGTCGAAGACCTTAGGAGACTCAGATCACTACCAGGTAAAACAGTTTCGGTAGGTAACATGAAAGCTATCATATCGTGAAGAAGATAGGAGATCAAGTACGTGAGCTAAGCAGGGTACTATATCCCAAAAAAGAAAGAGAACAGAAATACTATGACAAAAGATCTTTGACAAACTAGATATCTTATCGAATTGCACGGTTCGGAGAGTTATAAAATTACCGTAATTCTGTAAAGAAGGTGCACTAAAGACAAAAACACCGTCTCTCATGTTAGGTGTGCGTATATAGAAAGTTCCTATCAAAGTTTTACTGTGTGCATTTAAAAACTCGCCTTATATGTAGCCCCGTAAATATCGAGGTTTTAAACACCAATTAAAAAAAAACTGGTAGAATTCACAATTTGTTCTTGTTGATATGTACAATAATTGACAACATACATTTAAAACGATTACTTAGGATCTAAATGAACCTGGCACTCGTTTAGGAATCCCTAAACTGTTTTGTAAAATCGATTGATCGGCGATCAATGGAGGTGCGGTATATCTCCTTTCCTTTACTGTTCAAAAATACGAGCTCAGCGCGATGCTCGTCGATATTCATGTAGACAAATCCACCTTTTGAGAATCCGAGCTGTGATAAGGGGTTCCAGGACGTTGGATAGCTGAAAAGCCAAGCATTATGCTTAATAATGCTAACTGTAAACAAAAACATCGGTTTGTTTGGATCAAAACATATTTGCAGTGTACGTACTGTAAGCTCCGCCCAACGGTTCGCCGCATCATCGTGGCTGGGAGGTGACCTGGATGTCGGGCTGCGATGTACAGCGGGGGATTCATACCCCAGCTGGGCCTCCCAAGCTGAGAAGGAGTCCGATGCTTTCACCAAAAGCCTATCTGAGTGTACCAGGATCCACCACCGTCCTGGTATCAAACTAGTCGCATGGCAGCAGATCTCTCTCTGACAAGGGCGGCGACTGCCTGTGGTTACGATGACCTGAGGAAGACTTTGGCCAGGCTGGCCTCAGAACTTCAGAGAAACACCATGGCTAAACCAAAAAACTCCAAGGAATGGAGATTATGCTGGGGGCCGCACAATCAGTGAGGTCGTGCCGTCCAAGTGTGCAAGTAAGATAGCATTAAGATAGTTAGCATAGAATAATAATACCACTAGCGCTGGATCTGAATTACCTTCAATCTATCAACTGTCAAATAACTCGAGCAGAGATTGTTGAATACACCAAACGCTTCCTTTCACGCACCCTAGTTAGTCGTTTGAAAGACATGAAGAGCGTCGAACTCTTGGCCGTTTCCAAAAATCGGTTTCATTCGCAATGAAAATAATGTGGCTTATTGGCAAGCTCACTGCTTCCCACTAAATGTTCCACGTGGAGACCAACCGCGCAGAGTTCACACTACTGATTCGTTATTTCACATTATTCACATTATTGTTTTCAAACATTGATCAATACCAAGGTTAACAGAGAGTCGGTGTTGGGACTTGCGACACGAATACGTTTGTGTGTATGAAATTTTAGGATATTTTGATGAAGCAGGGATAAGGTATTCAAATCTTTAGGTCACCTAAGACTTAAGATAAATACATGGTCGCTTTTGGTTTAACCCCTACTCCCCACCAAAGGTTATACCCCTCGTGGGTTCGCGATGGGTTTCAACCTCGACACATGATCGCAGATCCTCATACATCTCACCGGTTATGTAGAATATAAATGAATTCCGACCGTTTCTTAAAAAATCAAACAAAATTTCCAGTATAAGAATAATAAACTAGTATGTTGACGACGACGTAACTTACTGAAACTTAAGGTTTTCGCTTGGAACACTGTCCAAATGTTTTTGTGAAGGATCCGAGCGTGAAGCAGCTCCGGAGACGACGTAATGAATCAAATGATTAGCGTCACCGGGGTAGACAATGTGCTAAAATTGTAAAATTCGAGAAGATGTCACTTTCATGCGAGCGCATGGAGTGGAACCAGCTTAACTTAGCTCAATCTTAATTTCAGTTTAACTCACTTCGCATCATCTTCCAACTCACTTAGCTCTTTTTTGTCTTCAAAAATCGAATGAATTTGAAAAGTTGAACGCTCTGTCTGTACAAATCCAGCTAAATAAAGTAGTACCAAAAACGTTCCACTAGTCATTCTACCCCTGAAGAATGCGCCATGCTTTCAACTTCATTAATGAGCACTGGCGGCAAATGAATACATATCTGGCCTTTAAAATGACTCGCGGTGACCACCAATGTATCGAGCCAATGCTGCTGTTCTCCCAGACAAGTCCGGTACCAATTCGCCGACTCCGGAGGGATCAAAGGCTTGGTGAGACTGGGACGCATGTATCGATCCTCTGTGTATTGCAATGCACCTATGACCACTGCGCTACACGCGTCGTAATTTATATGACAAAAATTTCCTCGACACAATGTGAAGTTCAGAGTGTTTCGACTATTTCAAAGAATCTAACTATTTTAACTTCAATGCCTTTCTCCACCTGTAAAGTATGATCGTGCCCACAGAAGTACGCAGAGACGTTGTAGCGTTTGAGAAGCGGGTCGAGCTTTTCAACAAGGCAATGAGTTGGTCCGTGTGTGGAGATCGAATGAATCGGATAGTGTCCGAACAGGAACAGATACTCAGCACTGAAAACAGTAACTAGTGAACCAGATGTTTTTCACTAACGACGGTTCAAAGTGGAAAACTGGTCCACGCAATGAGCATCAATGAACTATTGTTTGATTTCGACTGTAAAACAAGAACAACGACAAGTACGAGGACTAGAAATAACGTGAAACGTTGATTCCCACTTCGATTCATGCTTCATCTTTTGGGTCAAACCTTACATTTTCCATGAGACATCGATCAAACATGTTCTACCTGACTTAGAAGGCTTTTTCTTCTGGCCTTTATTTGTTTCTAAGTAAACTTAGTCTCAAACCTGCTCGCATTCAAATGACGCTCGATCCATTTCCACTGGTGGTCAGCTTTGTTGAAATCACTAGGTCCCTGTAAATGGCAAAAATACTTGCCGTTATCGGAACATAGCTGTTCTATAGATTCTCATTTACTTTTTTTGAGGTCGGTAATCGTACTGAAACACTGGAAGCGTAGCGGTGGAGTTATAGTTCAATAAAGAGGTAAAGACTCTGGTTCGAGCTCATCCCGGATCAAGCAGGCTACCACTTCACTAGATCGGGAAATTAGTACCAGAGTTGTTTTGAAGAACTCTCTTCGATTCATAATGATGGCAATTGCCTGCGATAATGGTCTGGGAACGCTTTGGCATAGGTGTTCCAGGATTCGAGGGCGAAACTCTTCAGTCTTCAAGGCAATCAATGAATGAGACCAAATACTCAAAAAGTAGCTGAACCCACGCGCAAATCCGAAAAGCTTCGTGGATGACGGATGTGAAGAAAGGAATCGAGAGGACAAAACACCGAGGTCTACACAAAATATGATATCTGGTGGTGTAATAAAGCAAGTAAGATAATCATAGCACTTCAGGATCATGAGATCCGTTCCATAGTAGATCAACCAGACCACCATTTTCAACATCGGCCGTGTTACCGCACAACATGACTGTGTCCAACATCAAAATATCGACTATGGTTCCATTAACGCGGAAGGATAGTTTGTAGTAGAGGTTCGGAAAATGCCTAAATAAGGAGAGAATTTCTTGGTTAGAGAATTTCAATAGACTAATTATCAGTAGATTTGTATCATCAATGGTATACATGTGTATCGCCGACTATATGACGATTGCATTGTAGAGCTATTAAAGCTAGAACATCCGAAAATAGTAGCTGGTTCAACAATGTTGGCTTTTATTTGCTGTCTATTACAATTCCTCACGGTAGGGTACTATGTGAAATAGAAGCAGTATGATGCTCAGATATTTGAAGAACTCCGGAGCGCAGGTGTCTGCGGTGGGGAACGAACGCGCTATTGCCCCGTTCGGGGCTAACGCGTTTACCACCACACCATGCGGATCCTTCAATCCTGTTGACGAGTGATTGCTGATGGCACTGATAGGCAGAAAACTGGCTGAGAGACGGGCGAAGTGAAGGATTTGCATGGTATTTCATTTGGTAATTGTTGAATTAATGAAGGGGTAATAGCGCGTTCGTTTCCCACCGCAGACACCTGTAGTCTGGGGCTTTGCAAGTATCTTAGCATCATTATGGTAGTAGTTAGATTATTAGATTAGGAGAGATTAAGCAAACCCAGGAAAAATGTGCATCGTCGAGGTAAAAATGACCAATAAATAACAAGCCCTACAATGAACAGATTTTAGGTTTTTGACAACGTCGAACAACAGTTTTAAAACTGCTCATAGCCACCGGATATCGTTGTTATGTAAAAAACTGGCTAAGAGGAAGCTAGAGGAATCGCCCTTGTGGTGCAGAGGATAACAATTAATCCCCCGAAAAAGAGTGAATGCGCGATCGAATCTGGTCTGAGATTTCAGTTTTGTAAATATCTCAGCATCATTGTGACTGTATTTCACATAACTGTCTAACTACTTTAACTTTTAACATCATTGTGGTTGTTTTAACTTTTATTCACTGTCCATTGTGCTTCAATAACAAAGCATTATGTGAAGTACAACTAAAAGAATCTTGAGATATAAGCAAAACTCGGAACATCAGATAGGCTTTGAACCCACGATTACCATTTTCGGCACTGGGTTCGGAACCCAACTGAGGTTCAGAGTTTTGCTCACATCTCAGGATTTTTGAAGCCCTCAAATTGTTTTAGACGAATCAAGAAACCAATAAAATCAATAACAATAGAGAACGAACCATTTTCGACTGTATTTGGTGTAGGTCAATTGCGCTGAAACATTACCGAAGTGGTCGTGATTTCCGGCGATTGTATACCACGGAACTTGTAGTGCATCAGTAGAATAGATGTCTTCAAAGGTTGACTAAATTTCTGTAGCTTCACCATTTTTTCCTTATAAGTCACTCCTGACATTCACTGTTTTCCTTCTCATAACTTTTGTGAATTCAACTCTTATCTCAGCCGGTTACTACCTTATTAGATTATTATTATTTCCCTTTTATCTAACTCAGAAACCATTTTCACTGATATAAGCTTAGGATATTATTCTCACATAAACAGTGCTGTGTTCGGAAATCTCTATTGATGTTGGAATAAGCAAACACCACTAAAAAGTCATTGTATTTCTCACATCTCTTTCGCAGGATTTCCGTCTTCCTTTTGTTTATGGCAGGGTTCAGACATCAAACATGGAAGTGTTAGCTGTGTTATAACTTTAGGAATTAAAAAAATTATTGAAATTATCCAGCTATACTATAATCCACGAATCCTCCTTATGTGGGAGATCTTAAGCCGATTAATCACGAGGGCAGGTGGCGCTGGTGTGTGTGCGGCGAACAGGGAAGTAGACTCAACCTAGGAGCGACCGCCTAGATTTCATAAAATTAAGCTGGGTAAAGAACTTGGAAGAGTTGAACCCTGCTCCCACATGAGTCGCTTATTTTTATTCTTTCAACAAATACGCTAAAGTAAAAGGTATTTCGGAGTATTGTTCGTATCTCTTCTAGGGAAACTAGTGATGAACAAATGTAGCATTGAGTAGTTTCGAAAAATGGTTTCGTATAGTCTAAACTCTCGGTTCACATTAAAGAGGATATCAACACAGACAGAGCGCGTGTGTTGCTGGACGCGCGCGGCTCAGTGGTCGGAAGCGCCCTGCAACACACACGTGGAATCGATCTCCGCGCCTACGGCCCACTAAGCCTTTCATTCCTCCGCAGTTGGCAAATTGGTACCAGACTTGTCTGGGAGGATAGCAGCGCAGACTTGATATATCGGTAGGTCATTTTGATTGTAAAAGCCAGATATGCATCCAGTTACCTCCAAACAATGCTTAATGAAGTCGAAAGCATGGCGCATCTCTCAGGGGTTGATCAAGGCTAAGAGCTCTATCTTTTTTTTATTAGTAAAGAATGGCACATTTCTGATTGTGAAGTCGATGTATAACTCATAAAGGACCATTTTGTTAGCCAGGATCTGAAAGGATTTCCATAAGTGCTTCCATCTCGACACAGTTACGAGTGTTCATTAAGAAATTCGCAACAACGTCTAATTTTTCATCGAACTCACTATAACACCTGTAGTGGTTGCACCGGTCACAATGCCTCCTTACAAATGACTCCTACAGAGGTCATATAATTGGAAAGTTTTTAAGGCGATGACCGTAAGAAGTATAGACATTATGTACTTTTGTAGAGCCTCAACAAATTTCCTCTATGCGTTATATGATCATATTTTCATACTGTTTTCATAATCTGCTTTTCTCAAAACGTTGATCGCTCACAATGGCTTGATGGCGTATTGCCCCCAAGGAATGTTGACAAAAAGGCCAAAAATTGGAACCGCCAGCTAAATGTTGGTAAACAAATCACATTTAACTTACAAAAAAGTGAAAAATGATAAAATAGATAATGGCTGATTAGATGGCTCCTTTATACGTAAAGATATAAGTAAAGCGTCGGATGTTCACCTCGAATCGTTTGTCGTACTCATTGCTGACACCAGTAAAATAGAAGTTATCGCCAACGTTGATGATGAACTGTACGTTCTTTCTCATGGCCAGGTCGGTCATCGCTCCAGCAACTTTCGATTGTGCGTAGGTATAGTATGGATATACTGGTAAACCTGCATGTAAATGTACTTTTAGGCATTCCTCCTAAAAATTTTAGCACGTTTCCGCTAATAGGAACAATCATAAGTGAATTATAAAGAGATGTAGGCAAAGCGGATACGTTTCCACGCACTCACTTTGCCAACAGAATTAGGAATGATTGAAAGGGGAATGAACGAAAAAAAAGTAAGGATGACGGAAAAATTACTAATCTATTTTCTGCGTATATAAGAAGTAGTGCATGGTATTAGTTTTCTTTTTTCACTAATGTTGAAAATCTCATACAATGCTAAAGCAGTGTTCAGGATATAGGTATTGATTTACAGCTAGATAAAAAAGCTGGACAGTATTTACCGCCTGTGTCGCCGACAATGATGGCACGTAAAGAGTTGACTGGTTGATCTTCGGGAAAAACTGCATACGTCGACAGATGATCATCTACGTCAACAAAACATGCTGAACAGAGAAATCTATCATACAATGTTTTACTTAGCGATGAGTGATGTACTTCCTTGTCGATTCGAAACTATGAATGACCACTGAAATCGTCAATTTGAGTAAAATCTAGAGTCCAACGATGCCCTGTATGATGGGAACATTCATTTTAAATGGAAAAAGCCTTCATAAACAGCTTAATAACTCACTGGTGAACATGCCAATGAGCGCTATTGCCGTCATTGCCAGTGTGACGAGGGTGACGTGACAGCGATACATATTATGCTACTTACTGAAATTGTATATATATATACATATGTATATGTATGTATATATATGTATATATATGTATATATATAGTGCATCACGATCTGCACAAATAATGAATGATAAAAGAATAAAGTGCATTATGTTTTACGCAGGAAAGGATGATGGATAGAAGGACAAAACGTTAGGCGTTGATTAATCCTTGACGCATGCACGATTCATTGTACTCGATGCATATTTGGCCTATAGAGTGGCCTACAGATGTATCAAGTCGGTGAGGCTATCGTTGCAGACAAGTCCAGTACCAATTTACCCAATTTTAGAGTGATAGAAAGCACGATCTGCCCTGGGAGCGATCTAGCCAACCACATGTGGATTGCGAGGCATCTCTATTAATTATGCTACATGCGGCGCAAAAGTAATAAAGTGACAAGTTTAACAATGTCAAGGTGTGAAATGTTAGCACAGCATCTGCAAAACTCCGGTATTACACCTTGTATCCTGCCGTGAAAAATTGTAATAGGCAGTAAATAGAAGTTAACAATGTGACTTCGACTACAGCCTCAGCTTAACTAGGTTCATTGCCCATTTGGGCTCCTCAGATCAATCCTGTTGACGGGTGATTGCTGATGGCACTGATTGATAGAACCACCTGAGAGATAGACGAAACAAAGGACCCGCATGGTGTGGTGGTGAACGCGTTACTCCCCGGAAAGAATAATAACGCGTTCGTTCCCCACCGCAGACACCTGCGGTCCGGAGTTTTGCAAATATCTCAGCATCATGGTGATAGTATCACACATGGTAGTGTGCCATGAAAAATTGTAATAGGCAGTGAATAAAAGCTATCATTGTCATCGTAAAATTTTACGACACTGGCAGTTTAAGAAAACGCTACTATTTTAGCAAACTCTTCTCAATTTTCTTACTCAAAGCTACGGTGTCAGAGGCTTGAGGCGTTCTTTCTATACGCCTTTTGCTAAGAATCACCCACTCTGATAGCTTGTAAGTAGACTGCTGCCACCACGTTTGAGTAACGGCTACTTTTGATAAGCTACTCGTTTTGTCCAAAACAAAAGTGAAGCACACTGTCTGGAGAAAACTCTGCACAATGTTTTGCAAACTTTCGGGTTACTTGACCGTACGTACTTCACTGGCTCACATTTCCACTTAGACACGCGCCACGTGGCCTTCCGCCAGAACTGCTCGAGATTCCTAACACGTCGAAAGTCCGTACAATTCCAAGTTATCAGTTATAATTAAGACTTAGGCCACTTGAAAAATAAACAAGATACAGGAAACACTTGCATATACTGTAACAGTGGTTCTAACTAAATTTCCAACAGACTCATTTAATGAAACCAATCCATTCAGCATTTTCTTTAGTTGTTGAGATATTTGCAAAACTCTGGACGCAGGTGTCTATGGTGGGAAACGAACGCGCTATTGTCTTTTCCGGGGAGTAACCCGTTCACCACCACACCATGCGGGTCCCTCGTTTCGCTTGTCTCTCAGCTATTTCTATCGATCTTTGCCGCAGTAATCACCCGTGAGCGGGATTGATCTGGGGAGCGCAAATCGGCATAGAACGCAGTTAAGCTATGGCTGTAGTTGAAATCACAATGTTTAACGTTCTGTTTTCTGTCTTCTATAATTGCTTTCTCCTCGCACAGCCATCCTCCGTTTTCAACTGTCGCATAATAAGAAGATCACTATCATCAACTGCTACTCACGAACCGACGCAGCTGCTGAAAACGTTCTGAACGAAGTCCTGTTCAAACGTGACTGGCAAATTAAAGAGGGCCCAACCGAAGACTACGATCTGCTTGTCGAGGGACTGAAAAGCTGTGCCGAATTCGCCTCAGTTCCTCAAGCAAGAAAATCAGATCGCATCTCCATCACTACTAAGGAGTTGTCTGAAAAGAGAAAGAAACTGAAGCTTGATCCTACTTCAACACGTTTAACATGGATAGCAATAAATGCCAGCTGCAGAAGAGCTTTGCAGAAAGATCTAAAACGGTAAAAGCAGAAGAAAATACTGGAAGCAGCATAGAAAAGAGGCAGTCTAAAAAAAGCCGTCGGAACTTGTGTGATTATAATGTTGCGTTGTCAGCCCTGATGAAAGAAGATAGGATCGTTAAAACTTTCCGTTATGATAAGGAATTAATACCGGAAACGTTCTACACCAACCTTTTCCGTTCCACAATCCACGTTCCGGGTCCTAATATTCCCGCTGAGGAAAAACCACCTGAAATTCCTCCGTCGGAGGTTCGAGTTGCGATAGAAAGCAAGAAAAGAGGCACAGGTCCAGGACCCGATAATATCACTGCCGATTTCCTTAGAGCTGGAGGCCACAATTTACATGTACTTTTCGCAGATCATATGACAGGCTACCTCCAAAAGGGAAAATTCCCAGTCTAGTGGAGGACGTCGCGCACGGTCATCCTGCCCAAGAAAGGAGACCGAAGGGATCTTCGTAACTATCGTCCCATATGCTTGTTGAGTCCACTCTACAAGCTCTTCACGAAGATTATCCTCTCGCGCATGTAAAGGACATTGGATGAGGCGCAACCAGTCGATCAAGCAGGATTTCGAAAACGATTTTGCTGTATGGACCACATCCAAACGGTGTCCAGGGTCATCGAAATTTGTCGGGAATACCACTTGCCTCTAGTCCTAACCTTTGTCGACTATGAGAAAGTGTTTGACAGTGTTGAAACGAATGCAATCCTATCAGCGCTCGTCGACCAAGGAGTGGACCCGTCCTACACAAGGACTCTGTTCTACTGTTATCCGAACTGCACTGCGAATATACAGGTTTTCCATTGACCTCTTATAATATCCATAGGAAAAGGAGTTCGACAAGGCGACACAATATCGCCAAAGCTGTTCAGTGCCGCACTGCAGTGGATAATGAAGTCACTCGATTGGGATGAGAAAGGCATACGTATTGATGGAGAATTCCTATCAAACCTTCGTTTTGCCGAATACATTGTCATGTTCTCGAAAAGTGCTAGCGAAGCAGAGGTGATGATCAACGAGCTCAACGAAGCGCGGAAAAAGATCGGACTTCGCATAAATCGAAAGGAGACCCAGTTCATGAAAAGTCCGTGGTGCGAAGGCGAAAAATTGAATTGGATGGCTCTCTCATTGCAGAGGCCACCTCGTACGATCCTCTGGGCGATCAATGAACATGGAAAACAACATGACAGAGGAACTAGACCGAAGAAGAAAAGCAGCTTGGGCCGCATTCAGGCCTCTCAAAGAAGCCAGCAACCAACTGAATGGCCCGAAAAACCGCCCTCATCTCTTCGATTCTATGGTCCTCCCAGCGCTCTGTTATGCTGCAGAGACGTGGGTTAATACTTCAACTACGTCAAGAATGTTTCGAACTAATCACAGAGCGCTTGAGCGGTGTCTTCGGAAAATATGCGGCGCTCTCAATATGTAGCCGGAATGCGAAGCTCTGACCTTCGAAATCTGTCACATCTTCGAGATCCAGGAGAATATACATCGACAGCGAAACGTAGATGGAACGGTCAAATAATGAGAAGAACAGACGACAGATGGTGGAAAATAACTGTAGACTGGACTCCGTGAGAATGGAAACGTTTCCTAGGACGGCTACCTACACGTTGGACAGATGTGTTCGTAAACAAAGTTAATCAGCTGTACCCGCAGCTGTAGTTATTTTACAGATCACGGTACGAGACTCTCATGCGCCACCATGCTCGAACAAGACCACCACCATGGACTACGTTTGCGAGAGAAAGGAACGAATGGCATACGTGCTGGGGTCCGCACAGCTCGGGAAGGTGGACCGTCCGAGTATCCAAGTAAGTAATGAAAGTTGCTGGGATATAGCATCTTGTGACTATTTTAGTACTTACAAACATTTAACGAAGATTGGTGAGACATTCAACATAACGGCTTCAGACTCATCTATTTTGTGTTTTCTTTTTCTTACGTTTTCTTTCTTTCTTTTCTTCCTCTTTCTTCCTTTTTTCTAAGAAAACAAATAGAAGGGAAGCGTTCGCAATTATTTAGTTTGACATATTTCAATATAAGAAGTGTTTTTATCTATAATTTTCACCAATCTGAGTGCAACCTTTGCAAAACATTGGTCTCAAACGATCTGCAGTAAATTATATGAATTTAACTCAGTAACCCGCAGAGAACGTCAGTTGAGACGTGCAAGGGAAAAACGGAAGCTATAGGTAAAGGAATTTAAAACAGTGACAATTTAAAGAAAAGAAAGATACTATCTTAAGAGAAAACAAGCAAAATGAGGAGTATTGTTTGTCGCAATCTGAATTTCGAAACGGTTTTAGAATGATAAATCACGTTCAAACTATGACGTGGATTCACTGAACTATCACGAGAATACAAACTACCCATTCCTCCAAAAGCTTTGGATAATCAAGAAGTCCGTTTTCGATATCTCGTAGGACAACTTTACGGTAATAGTTTTGCCCTTATATCACAACACCTTTGAACATCGATTTTCTGGGCGTTAGCTAATATAATACCGACTACTGCCGGACGAATCAGAGTAATGAACTAGCTAAGAGAAAGGCAAAGCAAAGACCTCGCTTGGTGCAGTGGATAACACGTGAGCTTCCGGAAAGAGTAGTAGTGTGTTCGAAGCACATTTGAGGTTCCGAATTTTGTTCATATCTCAGCATCCTTGTCGTTGTATACCAAGTAGTACTTCGCAATGAAAAAAGAATAGCGAGGAAATAAAACTTAAAGCATTACCTTAGATACATCGCCACCAAA